TTCTACGTCTCTGATTTCATTTCCTAAAAAAACTATTAGCATACTAGTTTGTATGTAGCGTTTAGAACTTTTGAGAGCTACACAATCCAGGCATTATGGTTTTTCCAGAGAAGGTCCAGTGAAATAAGACCACTTCCTATTAGATTCTTTCAGGAATTCGATTACATTCATCACCCACAAAGATTGTGAAACTCAATGTATTCTCATTACTGTAAGTTTTGTTAAAAAACATCAGTCTGCAATGGGATAAGCCAACAGCAGCTGAATCTCCACCCAAAAATAACTTCTGTCAAACCACTAAAGGCACAGTGATATTAAATACGATGATGGACAAGCCGGCCTTACGGATTTCATCTCTTCCTTTCTATTCAACAAACCAGTAAAAATAAAGGATCCGAGCAAAATATACTATTATTCCCCCCCCCCTTTTTTTTTTCATTTCCCGATAACAATTGGCATCCCAAAAGGCAGTAGAATCTGGTACATTTTGCAAGTTAAAAACAATTCATTCACCAATCTACAAGGTTAAATGGAGAACGTTGTTTCCTCAAGGAGTGCATATTTAATCAAGATGTCTTCACGCCACGTGCACAACAAGAATCAAACAAACGAACAAAGACGAAAAAACACACACACAAAGAAGCGCTTGGAGCTATACTGGGCCGCCGCACATGTTCAAGCAGCAAAGGATTCAAACCAAAGACCATAATCTGTTTTCATTAGTCCATCACCAAATTATAGGGCATAGGGCACATGCATCGATGGGTTGTAGATTGAGGGTAATGTGTAATGTAGCTATCCAAAGTTTCAACATCAAGTCAAATCTTAATGCAAAAACATTCAGGAGCTTTCGATTCTCATTTTCTCCCCTTTCTCATAACTTGTCTTAACGAATAAACAAACAAGAAGGAATCTAACATCAATGGCAACTTGATTTTTTACTTACATGACAATAAACAGAGATCAGTCCGATACTTACTTTCTTGTTTTCGGTTTTTTCGAAAAAGAAAGAGAAAGGTGGCCAATTTATGCGTGGCACAAGTGTGCTCTGTAAAGTGGAGGACACTTCAACAATTACAATCATTGGAGAAGATGGACTTGATCCGCAGGCAAGAGCGAACGGGGTGTGGAATTGGGTACTGTTACAAGTAACGATAAACTGAGCATGCTTATAATAGAATCATGTCTGGGGCAAAGGGATAAGGTTTGATGTTGGCCATCTTGGCATCAAAAGGCAGTTTTGAGGGTTAATTTTGTTTCAGTGAACTGAAATTGTGCTTTCTACTTCAGTTGTGTGCCATTTACAGAAATAGAAAGAAAACCAAAAATGAGAAGTTGGAAACCAAACCAATTGTTGGAAATACCAGTAAAGTTTACGAGATCTCCATCCCCTTCCCTCCCGCCCCTCATCACCCCAAAAGACCAGCATTTTAGTTTTATTGTTCCGGAACCAAATAAACGGTCGTACAATGAACACTTATAATGGACTGTATTTATACAGCGTGCAAAGCCAGCCCAATTCGAAAGAAGGTAAATGAACCTTGCAATTTACTATTACATTCCCTGACCCCTTTATAGTTAAAAAAATGCCCCGCCAAACAAACCAAAAACCAAAACAAAACAATAAAAAAAACATTCTTAGCTTTCTGAGGAGCTTTCAAAAATCAAATTGCTTCTCTTTGCCGCCAGGGGTTTCAACAAATGGAAAACAAATGTGGGCTTGTTCGTTTGTCTCCCTTGCCACAGTGTGGATCAAGCCCAAAAGGTGCAGCCAGAGAGTGTTAATAGGAACTTGATCGTGCCTTAGACGATAAAACAGTGGTGGAGATTGCAAAACAAAAAGATAGAACGCCAGTGCTTTCCTTCAACCTTCTAATATCTTGGAGAGTCTACATCTTAACAGAAGCCTCTTCAAGATACTGCCCCACCCGTGCAAGGAAAGGCATATTATCATAGAAATAAGAACAGCAATCTTAAACTGACAAAATAGTCTAAATCATCACGAAGCCAAAGTCGAGCTATTGGAGCTATAATATTTCCTTTTAAAATCATCATGTCTCGTGGTCACCGTTTCTCAAATCTTTTCTGTAACTTGAATCACAATATCAAAGATTCTTTAAAAAAATAATAATTATTATACCACAGTTCTGAGGACCCTTTATTCCTTGACCTCTATTGCTATCATAGTATGATTGCGCAAAATGGTTTGTCTACAAATCCATTTACGGAGGTGCATAATATGAGATTCTGCCCACTGATCTGGGCCTTGTAAAATGAGATTTTCGATAACAGATACGTATTAGGCAATTAATTTAGTTTTAAGAGAATAGGTCCAGAGAAACTTAAAATGGGTTATGAAATAAAAACAAAAAATTCTACTGATATCAATTGATTGAAATATTTGAGTGTTAACATAATCTCACTCAGGGCAATAAGAAAGTTTCAACTTAAAAGTAAAGTAGGAAACTGAATGACAGGGACAGAAATATTTTATGGGAAAACGTGTCACGCAAAAATCTCCAAGACTCTTGTCACAATTGCTTGCAGAGGAACTCACAGCACGCAAGTTAGGAGAGTGATTTATTCTCAAATTTCTGCTCTAAAACTTCACAGCCAGGATTTATTTACCGAGAAGGGAACCTTGCAACAAGGCAATGCCTCGCTTGCTCTTTAGAGTGCTAGGAGAATGTGGAAGAAAGGCGCTTTTCTCAGGAGGCAGGGAGCGAGCCGACGAGAGTTTGAGCTCGGACTCCTCTAAGTTCGACTTTCGAGTAGGCAGGGGTTTGCTATGGGTGCTGGGCGGTACACGGAAGGGTTTGCAGAAGGTTGGCGGCTTCCAGCGAGAGGCCAGTCGCTCGTACAGAGAAAAGTGAGCGCCCCAGCGGGTTGTGGACCCGTATAATTGCAACCTCTGAAGAGAGGGAGGGAGGGAGGGAGGGGGTCGGAGGAAGATGAGGGAGACATTTGAAGTGATGATGACGCATCAGAAGTGGAGACGACAAAGGTCATGGTGGCACCATAAGACAGGTTACTTTGGAGGTCTCTACAATGTGTTTACGTGTCACACGTTTACGTTTACGTTCTCTACAAAGGGACGAAAATATGAAATTTGAAATGTGATTTAGCGTTTTGTTCTTGGGGAAAGAAAGTTTATTTCTTCTTTTTCTTCTTCAGCTTGTCCTTCCACTATCTCCTTTATCTCGAGCCTTGCCGTGGCGACATAATGAAACATTGGCATCCGTTTGTCCACACAAGATAGATGACTCATAACTTTTCACATGAGTTCTGAGTAACCTGTCTTACAATATCACGTTCTTTGATTATTATAAATGGTGGGAGCAGAAGTGCTGGAAAGTATTGAGGTGGGTGACTAAAATGATGCATGATTATGAGAATTCTAATTACATGGTGACCTTTCAATCTGATTCATGACATGGTAAAATGGTCACAGTCTTTGGATTCTTTTTATGAACATACATTACGTAACAAAACGTTTAAAAGATTTTGAATCGTTTAAAAAAAAAAATATAAAGCTATTCTCTTTGCACGAGAACTCAGCCATATTGATACATGTATTCATTGACCAAAATTTGTATTGAATCATTTGTGAGCAGGTGGCTGTACGTTGCTTACTGAAATCAACACTCACTTAAAAGAGGGGGTCCAGGCTCCATTCACAATGACAGACTCTCCATCACAAAATAAACCTCACTGAAAAGTTCTTCTTATCTTATCTTATCACATTACGTTCAGACAGAGATTTGAAAACACTTCTGAAAAACTGAAACTGACTTTTGTCTGAAATCGACAGTCGATACCCTACACAAGGTCCATAACTATCTAAGTCATTTATATATACAGTATTTAATGGTTCTTCCTTTCCCAAAACTAGGAAGTTGAGAGCAAAGAAAAAACCTTTCAAAGGTTGTTCATAATGCATGATATACAAATCGATGTGATGCATGAAACGAGGAAATTTTAATAATGTTGAAATGCTAGGAAAGAACTGTAACCACAACGGGCTGATAAAATCTGAAAAGGATTTCCATTTTTGCTACCTTTGCCTTGTAAGTCTTTGATTTTGAAATCAGTTTTACTTGCTTTCTTTGATTTCTAAATTAGTTTAACTTGCTCAGTTTGAGAAAATTCATGCGATTTGATACCAGCTTAGTTCATTACAGTGAGAATTAATTAGCACAAACTCTACGAAGCGTTTGGCACACGTTCACTGTGGAGTTGGGAGAGAAAGAGAATGGAGGGAAGACCACACATCCTGAGAGGGGAGCGGAAGGGGGAGAAGGGAGGGGAGAGCAGGAGAGGGATGCGGGAGGGGAGAGCGGGAGAGGGGAGGATCAGGTGCTCTCTCAGGACCAACCAGCAAGCACAGCAATCGTTGCAGCTACTCACAAGCCAAAGCTTACACAATCTACGTGTGCAACAGAAACTAACGCTGAGTCCCGTTTTCTATTTGTTTTCCTATTACTACACTTCTAATATTTTTTTGGCTAACTGATTTCTTAAATTAGTCTAACAATTTCAAGATAGAGCTTTAGGAGGTTGAGCGATTTGGACCTAACACATATTTCTAACTTTTCAGCAAATGACATTTCAAAGATGATGAAGTCTTCTCAAAGCAAATGATCTAAGACAGCACTGAAATAAAAGAAATACCTTAATAAATATTGCTGTGCTTTAAGAAGAAAAAAAAACGATCAAAGGGCACCACACAAGGAAGCCACCTCTACAAGTCTCAAAACACAGAGCTGAATTTTTTTCTACAGTTTTATTTAGACTCATCCCAGGCACGTTCAGGTTCCTATTACACTCCAAAACACAAACAGCAGAATCAAGGTACAGACAGAGTCAGAAGACAGGACTCTCCTCAGACTTCAAAGATACTGACTGACATACGAGGAAATCATCAGAACTCCACAGTGCCACATTGCGCAGTGCGTATGATCTGAGAGAAACCAAAGCAGCACATGGCAGCTTCTACTCACCCGGATCTGGTGTGCCGTGGACTGCAGGTTCAGGTAGCTCTCCTCCAGGTTGGTTAGTTGTGCCTGGACAGAAGTGGCCAGTTGGGGGACACGGCGGTTGCTCAGGATCAGCTGTTGACCCAGGCGGCTCACAGAGTCCAGGGTCAGACGGTAGTCTTCTATCTCTCGCAGAAGGACCTGAGGGTTAGGAGAAAAATAGACTCAGAATTAGCTGTGTACATGTACAACTACTACACAAGTAGAATAACCTTTCTAGATCATGGTTCTCTTACCAACACCTGACTGATTGCAAACATAAGATCTGTATACCGAATTTTTTTTCATGTGTGATTTAATTCATAATGCTCAAAGAAATGTGGGAATTCAAGTAATTTAAAAATGTTAAAAGGAGCACCTCTGCGTTGGAACAAATGACGCTGGACAACTCAAATAGCAAATTCAAGATGTTCATCAAAAACAATGTGAGCAAAACCCAGAAAAAAAAGAGTAAGCAAAAAACAACCTGTTAACAGTACATTACAGCAGCTCTCCTTTCACAACAAGAAACTAGTACATGAAAAAAGCCTTTTTCAAGATGAGATGGACCCTAAATTTCAAGTGATCTTGATAAAGTGGTGTCTATGGTAACCAATGACATTGCTGCTGGACATGACAGCACACTGAACCATGCTCTATGGGCATTAAACTTTTTAAAGGATTAAAGTATCATAAAATACTGTAATTACAGTTGTGAATAGCATAATTTGTGACCAAAAAAACTGTTTGATCTTATTTGACGAACACACGGTTAGAGAGTGCCAATATTTGAACAGAAATAGTCAAGGGAAATAAAATATTTTTTAAGCAACAATTACCCTGTGTTTGTCGATCTGCCGGCTGGTGAGCTCCATGGTGGAGACGTTGAGCGTGTTGTGGGACATGAGGCGGTAGGACATGCTCAGCAGCCACTTCTCACAGTCCTGCTGGGCCTCCTGGAAGGACTGGTGCTCGTCGTAACCGCGCTGCAACACCTCCACCACATCCTGGGGGCAACGAGTTTTTAAAATAAGAGTTTTAGTAAGAGTTTTACAGTGCCCTCAACACAAATAGGTCACATAAAATCTGAAGATTAAGGGTGTTGCTAGAGAGTAACATGCAAAGAAAAGAAGGGGAGAGACATAAGGATGATAGAAGTTCAACAGGAAAGAAGGAACAAATGACAACAGAGCACCTGCCAACCACCCAAGAGAGGGAAAAGGGTGGAGGTAATTAATTTACAATTCCCTTCAAATGGTGACATACGGATAGTGACTGTCATTAATTAAAACTAGCAAAAATAATGGGATTTTATCTCTATGTGAAATTCTTTAGCTTCTAGGCTAAATGTACATGTGCACATATTGTACAACTGTAAGTCACATGATTAGACCAACAAAAAACAAATCAAGTCTGAAGGGGGCAAAATAGTACTTGAAAATCTACTTAGTTTTAGTAAGAGTTTTACGGCACCTTCAACACAATCAGGTCATGTAAGTGCCAAAGATTAAAGGTGTTACAAGAGAGTAACAAAGATAAAAAAGAAGGAGGAAAGATAAGGATGATTGACATTTGAAAGGAGAGAAGTAGCAAACAATATCAGAGCATCCACCAACCACCCTCTTGAGAATTTACTTCCTTCTATGTCTACAGCCCACGAAAAGCTGTATCATATATAAATATGTGAGGCAGCGTGGTGGAATCAGGCTCTCGTCAATTTTTGGGCATGTAGAGTTATTGGTATCACCTTAAAGCTTGTTCACTTATCTTTATTTGGACGAAAAAAATATCCACTTATTTTAACTACAAGTCGAGATATTTGAGAATGAAGGAGGTGGGGGTTACCTATTTTCAGAGGTAAAATTAGTGAGAAAATGGCCGCCAAAGATTAGTTATTTCCTTAGCTTTAGAGTCCGTGTAAACTGAAAATTTACATTTTTTGTGCCTTTAATCAACGTTTTTCTGAAAAAATCCACACAGAAATGAGTTCTTTTATGGGCTTGAAAGGTGTTGAACCCAAAAACAAAAATTTGATAAAAATTCACAAACCTTCAGAAAAATGCAAGTTTTTCACTTTGATTATTTTGACGAGAGCCTGATTCCACCATGCTGCCTCACATATACTGTTTTAAGGCTGTCTGCCAAGACGCAAAAAGGGCATAGTCATGACACTTACTCTGGCTTTGTCCACCACTTTGCCGTATCTGTCCTGGATGTCAGCCAGGCTGTCAGAGACACCTGGATTGTCACACAGAGCCTCCAGATTGGCTACACGGTCAGCGAGCTCGTTGACCAGACGTCGGTGATTCTCAATGTCTGCCAGGATCATCTGTGACAAAACAGATGGAGAAATTGTTTGAAACATCAAGAAAGACAATTCTCTTTGGGTCATCTTGATAGAAAATGTTATCAAAGACTTCTAGAAAGACAAAGCTTAAATCAGAATCACTTTTAACACAGAAAGAAAAAGATCTTTAGAGTTTAAAGAAACGTTAACCTCCATCGCGGTTGGGGGAGTTGGATAAAATTTAATTCTAGGTATTCACGTTTCCCTTAAAATGATATACTTTTGAAAGATATAGAAAGATGTCACATTATTGTCCAGCAAATCTCAATTTGAAATAAGTATTGCATTCAGTTTTAATCTCTGCTTTACAAAGCAAAGTGGCTTTTGAATAAACTACTGCCTTGACAAGAGACATGATGCATGCTCTACACCCTAACATTATTTTATAAGGAATTGTAATCTAAATACAATATCATTAATGATAGTGTTGCATTGCACTTTCCAACAATAATACTCTAACTACCAACTCAAAAGAACTTACCTTGAACTTATCCATCTGTGTCTTCCGCTCCGGCAGCTGAGCACAGGGTTCTGGGGTGGCCTTGAGCGAGTTCTCCGTGTCAGCCAACCACTTGACCAGACTGCCGTAGTACTGCTCGTACTCGTGCCAGCGCTGCTGAACACCTTCCAGCATGGCCGTGCACTCAGCAATGGCTGCGTTCAGCTTCTCCCAGTCATTGGTCAGTTCTGTGATGTGTTCTTCAATCAGTTTTTTGCCCTCGAGAGAGGTGTGTGGCAGAATTTTCTCAGCCTGGTCGCAAACGTAGTTCACCTTTTGCAGGCCGTCGTCCATACTGGCTGTCACATCCTGGAGAGAAGAAAAGAAAAAAGAATTCATGTTAAAATCATTTCTAAAAGACATTATGCAATATTAATCTTGTAAATTATTTATAGGCATTCCTAATCCTTTTGAACCTTGTTTTAAAAACGGAAGAGCAAAACTTGGTTACCTGATAACAAACTGTTATATGTGATCTAATCTGCTAAATAAAGACTGAATAAAATGCTCTAGTCTTTTCATTTTGGAATGTAAATTTAGGAATATGAAAAAGACTTCTTTGTTTTGAACATTTTAATAGAATTTTATAGCATTAATGTTTAACTTCCATGAACAATTTTGTCTTACAAACTGAAAAGGACAATAAAAAGAAAACAGTACTTGTAGTTTTAAGCTCATATTTACTCAAAAGCAATTTTTGATTAGACAAAAACAGACTTAGAATTGCACTGATGGAAAACACAACCATGATTTTGTGAAAAAGAAAGCGCTGAATTATGACAGCCTTCTATGTCAAAAAGAAAGTACTGAAATATAACAAGCCTGTCTTCATCGGCTGTTCCTACTGACCTTGATGTCTTCAATTCTCTCCTGGATGGCGTGCCAGTCACCAGAACTGTCACTGCACGTCTGGACACGTTTGGTCATCATCTTGAGCCAGGTGGCTGCAGCGTCCAGAGCCTCCTCATACACCTTGTGGTCATGTACATGTTCCTTCAGGCGTGAGACCGTGTGCTGGAAAAACAAACGTTTATAATCTCCAGATAAGATCTCATTCCACACGATATTTTACCATTCAACATAGTGCTTACATTGATGAAATGAAACTGGAAATTTTCAAAACAAAAAAAATTCACATTTTAGAACTGATTTGAATTTTTATTCAAACAGTTTCAAAAGGAAAAATGAAAAAAACTTATAAAATATAGAAAGGAAAAAAATTATCTTTAACGGAATCTATTTTTTGTGGGATGCCTTTCAGGCTTTAAACTAAGTGCTGAATCTCAACTGGGCAGAGTTACAAGATTGTTTTGATAAGATTTATGAAGTTTGTCGTCAACTTTTCTCAGACACTGTGCCAATACCAAATCAAAAGAAATAAAGAAAAATTATGTCTTAATATCATTCATTAAAAGAAATGTCATCTATTTTTCAAAAATCAGTTCACATCTTATATTCACAATGAAGCTATCTTCAAAATTTTTAGAACATAAAAGTTTTGAAAAGGTCTCCACACAGGTTAACTTGTATGTATGGGTCTATAAGAGATTTCTAAACTGACCTTTGCACTAGAACACAAGGCTTGATACTTGGTGGACAGTTGCATGACGTTGTTGGACACACGCATGTCACTGCTGCGCTGAGCGATTGCGTCCCCTTTGTCACGCACTTTGTTGAGCTCAGACTTGTGAGCCAGGATCTCATCATACAGATCCTGAACAAAGGAAGAAAATAAAATAATGAAGAGTATAAATAAAAAAGGTATTGCTAGACATAAAATTAAATGAAAAGTCTTAAAAGGAAAAAATTATATCTACATGTACTGCACTAAAATAATACAAAATAAACGCAGTATGTCAGTAAAGCATCAGATAACTAGAAAACAGTACCAGCACAAAACATTTGTAAATTTTTTTGGGAAAACACTTGTTCCTGAGGTAGATTTTACGAAAAAGTGACAACTGAGACTAGGAGACAGGCGGACTTACTCAAGGTGGGGGGACGGGGGAGGGAGGGAGGGAGGATGGGAGGGGGGACACAATTTACATAAATGTAGTCGGCACAGTTAGGAAATTTTCAGAAAGAAGACAACACACATTTAATTCCCTTCAATGGGGGGAGGGGGGGGAGAAGAGAGAGAGAGAGAGAGAGAGAGAGAGAGAGAGAGACAGACAGAGAGAGAGAGAGAGAGAGAGAGAGAGAGACAGACAGACAGACAGAGAGAGAGAGAGAGAGAGAGGGTAAAACAGCTGGAATGGAAAAGTATAAAAAAAAAAGAAGAAAAACTTTTTCTCACCTCTCCCTCCTGAAGCTGCGTTCTCTTCCGAGCCAGGTTGGACTTATTCTCCAGACACTGTAAGAGTCGGGCGTCCATACGATCAAGCCAGGTCAGGAAAGCCTGTTGCTCCTCATCAAGCTCGGCCCAGTTGGAGATGCAAGCTTCCAGGTTTCGCTCCACGTTGGACACAGCGGCTGTGAAGGCTGTCCAGTCTTCTCTCAGACCCTCGATTTCCTTCTGCACCACGGTCTGGCCGCGGGAAGCTGTCGTGCGACACAGAGTGTCTCCTAGCGCAGCCACACGGTTCAACATCTCCTGGCCTTGGCTGAGGTCGGACTTGAACTCCTGCGTGACATACGCATTGAAAAAATTACTCCCATGTGACAGGCAATGCACCTAAATCTGTTGGGTTATTTTTTTGAAAGTTCAAATACAGTTTGGTTTATCATTTTAAAGGCAGCAACAATGCAAAGGAAGTTGTAAGAAATGAAAACCTAGGTTTATAGGATAAAGAAACGGTTCTACACACATCTATGCACACAATTATCAGTAAGTTGAATTAAATTTTGTACCATATTTATACTTTATAGCCAACACACTTAGTGAGAAAAAAAAAACCCCTATCCATAACAAATTTACAAAGACGGATAACAGGGAAACAAGGAAAAGTCTGCAGAGTCAACAAGCAAAGCATCTGTAACAATAAAACTCCCTGTTGTCGCCACAATGTTAGACTGCAATTATGCAGTATCTAGCAGTAAAAATAATAAATAGCAATTGTACAGAGCACATCCCTGCTCAGTAGCAAGCTCTATGCACTTTACAATCTATCATTATTTAAAATTGGGTTTCCGTCTTCTACACTGATAGATTTTGCCACTGACAACATGAGATGAACATTTTGTTATCCTGTTGGGGTACTCCGTTATCTCAGTTCGTATCACGCTTGACTGCGGAGCAGATGATCGTGGTTCGAACCCAAGACTGGTTGGTCTTGCCTTCAGATTGTTTTGAGGAGTTTTCAAGGCTCTCAACCCATTTGGTTCAGTCCTATTGGAGATGGACGTTAAATTTGAAAGCCCCACATCTTAACACTTTGTGATCACTTGGCGCAATAATGTAGCGGTGAAAATTATCCGTTCTGATCACCTGGCGCAAATCTGCCCCAGGCCCGAGAAGTCCGTTGCACTCGCTCTCCTGGCTGGTTGACCAGATCGGGTATTTTGTACTGCTGGCTGTGTGACTGCAAAGTGTTTAATAGACTAATAATGTTGACAGGGGCGTTAGATCCTTACACTTACCCTTAGCTGATGAAGTCTGTCCTGCAGCGTCCTTTTGTCTCCAGAGTAGTCCGCGAGCCTCTGCAGTCTGTGCTTTGTGTTTGCTAGCCAGTCGAGACAGCTGATGTACGCCTTGCGGTAGTCTTCATGGCTGCCAACCTGTTCCTCAACACTACCAACGACATCCTGTACAGATTATAAAGAAAAATGTTGTGCTTATTTTCTTAAGAAATAGAGACAATGTTTATAGAGCAGAGGTGTTGGGCATGTAATATTAGTACTTTTGTCCTCGTTTGTTGTGTGTATGTGTGAGTGCACCTGGTCTTCGTAATACCACTGCCATTTGAATGACCAAGACAAATTTCTCCCGGCAAAATGAAAAAAGATGGTCAAATGCTTTATGCATTTTTCTAATTTTCACGTTAAAAACTTGAAGTTGATATTATCGGTTCATAGAAAATTGATTCATTCATGGAATGTGAACAGTCCAACTGTGTTGTTTATTCAGTTTCTTCAGCTGTGAAAACTTAAACTACACCCTATAAGAAGACATCAACATTGATGAAGACAGACACAATATACTGCACATTGTGAAATCGGCAGAAAATCTTTTCATTATGTACGAATTTCACTTTGTGCTTGTTTTAAATACAAAGAATATATGCTAATGTTTAAGAAAAATATCTGGGACCTAACAAATCTGTTTGCTATGAACATGTTTCCCTGTGTGCATGCTAGACTGTACTAGGTAAAGAGATATGAAGCTCTCCACTCACCCTGCTATTCTCCACCAAGGCATTGTATCTAGCCCTGAGCTCAGCTGTCCTTGACCTTGGCACACCATCCTTGACCTGGCTGGCCTTCTCCTCCAGACGATCCAGCTGATCCTTGTGAGCCAAAATGTCTGCCTGTAAGGCCTGCAATAATAAAAACAAAAAAAGAGGGAGATGTCAATTAAATGTAATAGGTTTATTAGACAGCAGTCAAACATGCTCTAACAGCCACCTGTCTAAAACAATCACTTGTATAAATGGCCACTTTTCACTTCCCACGGTGAATTTTTCTACCTTATACTGACACTGTCCAAAACATCCATCTGTCTAAAGCAACCATTTTTCTCGACAATGAGATAACCGTCGTGCTCAGTTGAAACTATATGTGCACTTTACACTATAAGTGAAAGGAAATATCAAAATCACAAATACTTGCCAATGGACAACTCAAAAGTAGTTTGGAGCCCCTGGTGCACTATCCTTACGGGTAAAATATACCCAGGGCCATTTAATGTTGAATGGGCCAGTATGTATGAGACATTTATCTAAATCTTATTTTACTGTGAAACAACTAGCGCGACCAGTGAGAGGGCACTATACTATAGAAGTGATTTCTATCATTACAATTATTACATTCTATTATTAAAACAAAATGCTCAGTATGGCGCTCACCTTGTACTTCTCAAGGCTAGACCTCTTTTCTGGCAGATCTGCTTTGAAGTCTGGACTTGAACCCAGACGGCGCTCAACATCAGTGATCCAGTCGGACATTTGCTGGAAAAGATGCTCAAAGTCTTCCCAGTGACCCAGGGATCCTTCCAGACTACGCTTCACCTGGAAAAAAAAGAGACAAATCACTTTACACATTCTGTCTTGTGGACCGGGAAACCATGTATTTAACTACTGTAATAAGCCCAAGAGTCAGTATATAAAATATGGGTTCTCTTTATTTATTTTTCTTTTGGTGAACAATGGAGGCCCATCTTGAAGCAAGACTTAAGATACAAACGACAGCAGATCCACAAAAGGAGTTAGCTAAAAACCCTTTATAAGACAGACTAAACTTATCCAGACTAAGTATAAAATTCTTTGAAGAAATTAATTTTTCTATCATTCAACTTATTTTAAAATAAAGATTTTTATGGTTATTTTATAGAGATATGCACAAAATGAAGTAACTGAATTTACTGTGGAAAATGTTGAGTTACAAATGGAATCTTACATTCAAAGTACAGGTAGCAGGAGAACATACAGTAATTCATGGAATTACTACCTTTTCTTTGTCTTTGTTATTAACAATTCAAAACACATTGTTGAATAAGATTTGCTATATTTTCACAAGTGAAGTAATGTTTTGAACAATAAGAACGTTTTTTTCTATTTGGCCTTTTGAAAAAAAAGGAACAGAACGTGTCTTGATCAAACAAGGCTCAATCTCATTACTTCAGAAAATATCCCACACACAAAGCAAGAGCCTTACCTGTGAGACTTGTGTGAGGATGTTCTCGTAGTCAGATTTCGCTGTGTCAGCCTCGTTCCTGATGATGTGCACTCCTCTCTGGTTGGTGTTTGGCAGAGTTTTCTCACAGCTGTCCAGCACCGTGCGGAGGATGGTGTGGCCTTGGTCCAGGGCGCCTTGGATCTCCTGATGGGGACAGAGTCAATACATAAAGGAAGTGGACAACAATTATACAGTCTAGCTTGCACATAGCAAAATCGGCGAGACATGGAGATCTTTTTGTTATGTACAAATTTTTACTATGTACATGTTTTACATACAACAAATATACATGTGCAGGGAAAAATGCGGGACCTGATAATGTGTTGGCTATGTGCAAGTTTGCTAGGTGCATGATAAACTTATTCAATGATAATGAAGGCAAAAAGGAAAGCATAAAGATTTTAAAAAACTGTAATTGACATTCTTTGAAGGCTTGTGAAACTTGCTTAGCAAAGGCATCATACAACAGGAATGTTGATTTTAAGATTTGTCATTACATAAATTGAATGGTACAAGAGGGTAGACTGCTCATCAGTGCAAAAACCACCACTTTTTACCAGAAACAGACTAAAAAAGAAATCAGCTGCCCGTTGAAAAAGTAAATGGGGCAGACCACATCAGTCTCCACTGACCATCTGTGTGGCAAATGTAAAAAACAAAATTCACAGTTTTATACCCATAACACATTTGTGCCAACAGGAACATTAGAAAATCAACATTTAAATTTAACCTAAAAGCTATAAAAGTTTCACAGCCTGAATATTTGTATTCCTAAATTGAACACTAGGAATACTTTTTAGCTTGTCACACGGCGTTCCAACTTACATCAACTTCCATCAGTTTGTCACTGACGGTGTCCTTAGATCCACGATCATCGTTGACGGACTTGAGCCGTTGTTTGACCTCACGCAGCCAGTCCACAAACAGGTGATGATTCTGCTTGTACAGCCGGTGGTTGTTGTAGTAGGCTTCCAAGTTGCTGCTGATGTCCTGGAAATACACAGCAAAGAAGAGACTTTTTAAAATTCCAGTTTTGTATAAAAAGAAAGATACACATGTATCCATCAGCAATAAAAACATTTCATGATCGTTTATAATAAATATATTTATGCAGTTTCACACAAAGTGGGAAAAATCCCTACAAATTTCTATAGACTCACAGTGACATCCATAACAAGGGAGGGGAACAAAATCTCATCCCTCAAAAGTCTGTGTGTACAAAAAAAATCTTTCCGAAGAGTCCATGAAATTAATACAGTTAATCCAAAAAATTAACAAAAACATTGCAAGAAACACACAAACATCATCTCATTTTTTAAATTAACATTGAATTAACATTCTGCTGTTTAGAGTTAAGTACATATTTTTAAAATTTTTAATCAGCAGTTTGTCAATCATCACCACTGATCTGCTTTGAAGATCTTTACCATATCCTCCCCTTACCTTGGCAAGAGCGATGACTCCATGGTACCGAGTGGTCAGCTGTGTAATGGCATGGGATGTTTTGGCGTCGGCGTTGGTTTGCAAAAGTGCCTGGGCTTTCTCGCTGACCCGATCAAGTGACGACTGATGTGAGATGGCATCCTCAAGATGAAGCTACAAAGAATCAAGGTCAAGCTCAATGGAACTATGTTATAAAGTTAAATTTTTTAAAATACAAAATGCAGGTTTGCAACATCACCACTTGTCTCAGAGGTTATTGGAATCTCAATGAGCTATCTTGATAAGTGATGTCATATGGCATGGGATATAAATACAACCACTTTCTAAACTGAATGGTTTATCTAGAGGTGGGAGCCTTTGACTCAACATTCATTTCTACAAACCCTCTCTTCTTAACTCATACACCAACCCATACAAACCACATTAGTGCTCTCTCTAGCTCTGCCTCTCTCAAATACACAAAACACAAAAGTACTCTCTGTCTCTCCCTCAAACACATAAGTTCTCTCTTTGTCTCTCTCTCTGTCAAATACACAAGTAATCTCTCTCTCTTTCTCTCTCTCTCTCTTTCAGACACACAAGTACTCTCTGTCTTTCTCTCTCAAACACACATATTCTGTCTGTTCATCATCATCCGGTGCCTTGCAGACTGGCGTGGGCGATCATGAACCTCCACTTCACCCTGTCCTGCATTGCAGCAATGGTGTCTGTTGTTCTTGCTGCTCCCAACCAAGTTGTCATCTTGTCCAGTATCTTTTCCCTCTGTCTACCTCTGCCCCTCTTTTCATCAAACTTTCCTGTTGTTACAATATTCTCTAATGCTTCTTTCCGCATTGTGTGTCCGAAGACATTTGCCTGTCGTTTTCTTATATTCGTGATATGTTGTTTTCTATAATTTGCTTCAACCAGCACTTCTTCATTTGTTTTTCTAGCTGTCCATGGGATAGGTAGCATGTGTCTTATGAACCACAACTCTGTCGCTACAATTGTTCTTTCCAGCTGTTTATTGATTGTCCACGTTTCGCACCCGTATTCTGTCTGTTACTTTCACTCAAATGCACAAGTTTCCTCTGTATCTACTCTCTCTCAAACACATAAGTGCTCTCTTTCTCTCTCTCGGACTCTCTCTCTCCCTCTCTCTCTATCTCTCTCACCTGGTACTCCTCCCAGTGCTGTTTCTTCTCCTCCACCGTGGCCTTGAGATCGAGCTCTGAGCGGAGCAACACCTCCGTCTCCCTGAGCCAGTTGCCAAACTCCTGGTAGCTTTCCTCAAACTCGTCCCAGCGGGTCAGGCACGT